TCACGGATGTGTGACGAATTGCACTTGACTTAAAAATATGAAGGATTGGTTGAAAAAACGAATATAAATATTCACATCAAATGCAACCCGCAACACAACGTCGCATTGTAAAATTCTAAATAGACCTCAGAGTGGCAAAAAGTGCTTCGACGATGGTTTCAACACGCATGCAAGAGTGTATAGATCTTAATGAGAATATTTGAGAAAAACAATAAAGTGATTTCCTAGTATTAGTTTTATGTTTTTCTCTAATCTGAAATATAAAGACAACAACTCGTATTGCGCTTTGCACTAGGACTATAAACTGCGGTGTCACAGGTGCACCCACCTAGATCTGCTGCGGGAAAAAGCAAACACTTCTCTGCTATTTTTCTTATACTCTTCCAATTATAATTGTTTACCAAAATGACTTATGTGTTTTAAAAATGATAGTAAAAGTAACTTCCATGTACTGTAAATATTAAAATACAAATAACAAGAAAAAATAAATGAATTGAATTGTGACTGGGAACCGAAGTTTTCAATAAAAGTAGTTATTCCAGTGTTACTTGCCTTTTTCTGGAAAATAAATCACAGCAATTCTTAAAAATATTTGGCGGAAGTTGGCAAACCATGGCTTGCCGTTCGCTATTCGCTTTCCTTGATACTCATAAAACTATTAGAAAAGAATGCAACAGTAGGCGAATTTCATAAGTCTAGTAAAAACTACTGAAGGTGGAACACTGTGCCGATTATCGATAAAGTCCCCATGACTAAAGAAGATTGACCGATTTCGCCGGTTTAAAAAGTTCTCGTTGCCATTAAATGGTAATGCAACTTTCGTCAGGGAATGTTTCCAAAATTTGTTAACTTTTATATTCATTACTGATTTTAAAACCTATTATAAGTAATTATGATTTCGCGCTATTATGCAGTGAAGTAATTAATTCTGTTTAAAATGGAAATTTATTGTTAATTTTATATGAGGTTGACATTTCAATACATGAAATTATTAAATAAACGCATTACCACTATTTGCAGACTCTTTCATACCATGTTAACATCCACCACTATATATGGTCATTAGTTATACAGAGCATAGTTACGTTGAGGAAATCAATTGAAAACTGATGTTAATTATTATTTACAATGCCAATTAATGCACATAAAAATGGTAGAAAATGCACATGACATTTGCAGAGATTCATTAAAAATTTTTGATACGAGGTTCATGGATTCAATATTTTGTACAAACAAATTATAAGATTTGTAATTAACATACATTTTTAAAATATAACATCATACCGGTGTCAAATAGTCATTTGAAATTCTATGAAAAATCTAGATTATATATGTTACAAATCCTGCTTTATTTAGTGTATGGTAGTAAATCACATTAGTAAAATTATACCAATATCAAACATCTCTTTTTCTGTATGAGGACATATTAAGGTAAGTAAAGTATTTCGTCGTGTGTCGTGACGTCAACTATACGTTGGAGTGTCCGCCCCCTGTTAAATTGGACGCTCTTTGTACAAGATTGAAGTGCTAACGTAAACTCGGTTTGCCAATAACTTTCGAAATCAGCTGCCGCCCAAATCCATGTTGCCATTCCCTTTGTGCTTAAGGAAATACTCATTGCGCTGGTCGTAAGGAACGTCTATAAAAACCAGCGAAAGTGAACACTTATTGAGAGAAAGCACTTTTCACTTAAGGGTCGCTATCCTATTAAGTGACGACATGAATTCACCCTTAAATTATAAATGCGAAAAAGTTAACAGGATCGGCAAGTACAACCCTACTCATAGAATATTATTTTACTTTATTTCCAAATTTCACCTGAATCACTGTGATATTGAAAATACTGGCATAGGTAAAACAGAAACCAATCCCAAAAAGACACATTCTCACTTCTGTACCACAATCGTCCATTCTTTGCCAATTATTATTTCTTCTACGCAAAGGAAAATCAAACGATGTAAAGAGCTCTTTCCATTCATAGTGGATTTATGTTTCTGAGCTCTCTGATATTGCCCTTGCGAATTTTTCTTGACCTCACTTCTCTTTTGATTCACACGTCCAACAATCTGGGCCGTGGAAACACCCTGGCAATTGGTGGGATAGCTGCGTTGCGTGAGCTCTGTCGTCCCTACCTTTCTTTCGTGACTTTTTTCATGAAGCTAGGACGTGCAGCGAATTTCAGTTTTATCAATATGAAGTGCATTCAACCTTCTAAGAAAGAGTCAGTAATAACACGGTATTAACAATTATTTCTCTTTAAATGACTTGTTAGTTCCTCTTCTATTGGGTTCTATTGCATAACGGGAGGTAATACGGTTGCACTAAGCCCATAAAAAACAATATTCCTCGTATCAAAGCAAACTATTAATACTTCTATATTCTGCAAGAGTGAATCTTAAATCATATGACTATCCAATTAAACCTCGTCAGGTCTGCGCCAAACCACGGTAAACACAGGAGTTAAACATAGAGATGAGTCCAGCCTTCTGGGCGTGACCGTCACAAAGCGACTTTCCGCATAGGTGTATTGAACAGCATCGATAAGCGCAATAGCAAAAATTATACATGTCCAATATATTCATTCTTGTTAGGATTAGCGGCATCTGGAAGAATATGTTCCTTTGAGGTCTTTGACAACAAAAGTCCTGGGTTTCAAGGCCCTAGAACGCTTTGTTTCGAGTTGTTTTAACTATTAGAATTTTACAATTCGACGTTGTGGTTGCGGGTTGATCTCTCTCT